GCGACCGGTTCCTCAGGCTTTCGCAGTTTCCCTTTCGGTTCCCAATCCAAACCAATCCAACCATCCCTAAACGAGGGTTCGAACAGCAGAAGTTATATCAACCCTCGGGGTGCCGGTGTTTTTGAATAAAAAAAGCTCATTTGTAAGTAAGTCGGGCTCGAATGCAAGGCCGCTGAATTCGAACCAGGGACCTAACCTTCAGTGATGAGCGCCATGTCAACGCCGAACGTTGCGGCTACCGACGCCCCGATCTCGATTGTTATTACTGTATTTCCATCGGCGTTGGAATTAACTGTCGCTACATCGATATCATCGATGTTTACGATAACCGATTGGTTTTCCTGTCGTTCGTTAAGTTTCTGGAAAATTTATGGATTTTCTAGAAAGAATTGTGTAAGGAAATCGTCGTCCTCTTTGTCTACTGTGTCGGCGTAGTTTCACTTCGACACGCGATAACGCATCAGCGACTTTGTTATCGTTGCCCTTGCAATATTTTATCTGGAAGACGTATTCTTCTAGCTCAGCCTCCATTTCGTTAATTTTGAGTTCTGTTCTTTTATGGCGAATAACCATTGTAACGATTTGTGGTCGGTATAAAGTTCTAAGTGATTTGCAAATAAATAAGGCCTGAATTGTTTTCTCGCCCAAATTACAGTTGGAAGCTCTTTTTCAATTTCGATAAATCGAGTTTCAGACTCGTTTAGGGTGGGACTCGCAAATTAATTACACAATTATTAGAGCTTATATGGGGAAACGATCGTTTCACCGGATGTTACATTTTTATGGGTATTTTTATAATTGTTCTGTTATTTCGCTTATATTATAGGTTGCAGGTTCTTTACACGTTTTTATGATTTCCAGTGTGGTTTGAGGGCGTAACCAGCTGATTGTTTAATGTCACATGACATGGTCTAATGTCAAACTTAGGGAGATAAAAGACTGTGTAAAACCTTGGGCCTCATCTCATAGGAGTTCCAGGCACGAAGAAGTTGTCCTTGCTAGGCTCAGAATTGGTCATTGTAGGCTTACTCATTCTTATCTCATGGCAAAATAAGATACTCCGCTTTGTGATGTTTGTTCACAAAGAATAACAGTTAAACACATTTTGACAAATTGCAAAAAATATGAAGGAGAAAGACATCGGCTATAAATTCCAACCAACAACAAAGAACCGCTTGGTGATGACTCCGACCAAATAGACAACTATTAACTTTCCTTAAAAAAACTAAAATAATTTCTGAAATATGAAGATAAAATGATAAAATAATTTAATACAAAAGAATATTCATTTTATGCAATAATCTGTATTTTACTCAATGTTGGGAGGTGTCTTGGGGTGCGGTTTGGGTGCCCGTCGGGTGGTGGTTATGAAAGGGTGTCCGGGGCGCGTGATACTGCCGGGGCCCTGGTTTCCGCTGTCGGGGAGGTTCCTGGTCTGTGACCCACTCGCCACCCAGCTTCAAAATTTTTAAGGCGGAAAATGACCCAAGGTGGTTGATCGCCTTTTTATTTAAAAAAATTTACTAAATTTTTTCCGTCTAGGTTCCATATCCTGAAGTAATTTCAAACGGTTTAACTTTTATAGTTTTTAATGTTTGTGTGCTATTTCGGGGGTGGGTTTCTAAATTCTACATAGGATTGCCTGGTTACATGCTTGGTTTCTACTCGGTATCGACATGAGTGTCGGTTTAATGTCACGTCCGTTCGCAGACTGAAGCCGCGGTGCGTTTTGTGATATTTGTGTATTTGATTTTGGGGGAAAACGTAATGTACATTGGGGAACTTTAACTTTGCTGGGGGTCTTGAGGGCAATTGGAATGTTGATTGGGTAATAGATACATTGCTCACCTGGCAGCTGCATCGTATCCCACATTGCCCACGAAAAGCTAAGTTGTCAGGAGAGGTACGCACCGCATCGCATATGCTAAAGACCAACGAAATCTAAATCAACAAGTGGTCGCCTCGTATGAACACTGGCCCAACGAGTGGTAAACCAACTAGTAAGCGACCGCATCGTACTTGATCATGGCCCGCGAAAAGCTAAATACGCACCCACCCTTAAGAGCGAATTAGGCCAATAATTAAATTTTAGAGTGGTCGCATCGGGAAAAATACTATTTTTTAAAGAAAATCTTTTCAGGAAGAACAACTTGTTTTAAAAGATTTGTTAATCAGAAAAATGAGATGAATGTATTAATTTTTATTGTAACAGTAACATTGTCTTATATTCAGAACTTTCGGTAAATCCACACAGGGTTCATTAATTGTTGTTATTTTTAAGAGAAAAAATTGGTTATTTTTCTAATCCATTAATGAATCCGAGGACGGACCCACTGGCAGAATTACCGTGTGGAGAAAAGATTATTTCTTGGTATAGCTAATTGTTTGTGTAACTAATTTATAATTAATTGTGTAAGGACTGTATTGAACCATTAGAATGAGGATATGTGGGGTCGAAGTAACACATTTTGTCTTCCTTGGACTCCCCGATAATCACCTCCAAAGTAATGCAATAGTGAAACCAGAGGGTAGTAGCTGCCATGGGGAAGAAAACCTCACGTAGTGCCCTCTGGGGAGGTTTTAGCAAAGAACCGGTGCTACAAAAAGAGTTGTGGGTTAATGTTGAGGATGGGCAAACTAGTTCTTTTTGGGACAGTTCTTTTTATTGTACTAGTTCAGCGAGCTAGTTGTGTGTCCTTTTTAGATGGCCCGGCTGAATTTCTCTTGGACCAATGACGCTATAAAAAAAAGTGTTTAATATTTTTTAGTCTAGTTTCAAATTTTTACCTTTTATTGGAGAAAAATTATACAGAGTACCTCAGGCCCAGTTCAATTTCAAAATTTCTAATACAACCCTATACATCGTGACATATCATTTTCAAGGATGTTTTACGTAGAAAAAAAAATGGTGCGATCAGATTTTAAATTGGGCAAAAAATGACAAAGTTATAACAAAAAATTTGAAGAAAAACAGTCATTTGGTTTGCTATTTGTTAATCACATTTCACCAGTGCTCAGAGCAATAGAGTCAGGGGAGATGGATTGACAAGCATTTTCTCTTCTTTGCCCCTGTTCTTCAACTGAGGTAGCTGGGTTATGATTGGCGTAGATACCGTTTTTTAAAATATCCCCATAGAAAATAGTCAAATGGAGTTAAATCGGGTGACCGAGGAGGCCAACAGATCGGGCATGAGGTCCTATCCACCTATCCCGGAAGTGACGATTCAAGTACCGTCTCACCTGCAAAGAATTGTGTGCGGGTCATCCAGCAAGCTGGAGAGTCATTCTTTGTCATTGTTGCAGAGGAACATCATCTAATAGTGTTGGTAAAACCTCATGGCTCATTTGAATTCTGAAGCAATAAATTATTTTGTTTTCATCTTTGTTTTTCTTTTTAATTTCAATCACTTATTGATGATGGATTCCATCAGGTATGCGGCTATTGCCATCGGAGTTCCCTACGAAACACTGTGAGACGCAGTAAGACGTTTTCGAGAAATTGGGTCCTACCATAGAAAGCCTGGTTCTGGACACCCCAGGGTAACAGAACCACATGATGACCGTTTTTTGAATTCGAGAATTTTGAGAAACCGGCATCTTACTGTTGTTCAAGCGATTCATCAGCTCCAGCAAGTTCGAGGTGTCAAAATTTCTGAACGCAATGCTAGAATAAGGTGAAATCAGTATGGACTGATGGCTTTTCGCCCCATAAGAGTACCAGAATTGACGAGAACACACTGAGTTGCACGGCTCGCATTTGCTCCAGAACGCAGCCATCGGTCTTTGGACGATTGGTCTGCTGTACTTTTTACTGATGAGTGCAGATTTCCTCTATGATCTCCAGATGGGCGTGGAAGAGTGTGGAGAAAGCGAAACAAAGCTGGTAATTTTTCCCAGAGCCAACCTTTTCAACGTAGCTCAGTGATGATATGGGCGGGAATTTCAATAGAGAGTCGCACAGAGTTGGTTGTCGTTCGTGGAGTGTCTTTGACGGCCCTCGTTATGTGGATGAAATGAATCAACGTTCCCTATCCTCGAAGAAATCAGTAACAATCCTATTCTAATGCACGATACAGTACAAACGTCCACATAGTACAAACGTACCTTGAACTGCATAACATCAGGGTCTTCGCCTGTCCAGCCCGTTCTCCAGACTTGAACCCCATTGAACATTTATGGGATAACCTCAAAAGACGAATAAGAGCACGTCCTGATACACTCCATGATCTTGAAAAGAATCTTCGTGAAGAATGGGGTAACCTCCAGCAAAGGGACATTTCCAGACTGGTAGAAAGGTATGCCAAGGCGTCTTCGAGATGTAATTAAGGCAAGAGGAGGAAATACGCTATATTGAAATGTTAATTAAAAATCTAATAAACAAATTTTATCTGTCCGTCTTTTTTTTTCATTTTTTTCAAACTTTTTTTAGACAAAGACTCAATTATTAAACGTTAGAAACGTAAAACTTTGATTAATATGTAAAAATATATACAAATCAAGTTATATTACAAGTGGGTGGAATTGCCTATCAAATATATATAATTATATAAAATAAATAAAACAATTCAAAAATGATTATTCGAAAATCGTGAGATGCGGTCTGGTGTGACGTAGATTTTAGAAAAATATTTTCTTTATCGTGCCACGTTTCGATCTTTATTGAGATCATCTTCAGTGCCTGGGATTTATAAACTACGTCACACCAGACCCCATCTCACGATTTCCGAATAATCATCGACTAACGGTCACTATCACCACACAATTCAAAAATTGGTGCTTAAATCTAGGGAAGGCCGCATTACAACCGATGGGTGACAAAAATACGCAAAGAAACAAGACTAATTTTTAAGAAATCGGCAAGACTTTTCGAACGACCTGTTAGACGGTGAATTGAGATATTTTGTTGGGTTTTAATGTTTGTGAGGGATTATCTTTTTTTGTGGAAAATATCCGTCGGAACGGCCTGTCGGGAGCGGAAGGGTAAATTTTCTCTTCACGTGGAAGGATTGGTGGGGCAACACTGAATCGAAATCTACTCAGCCATCGCCCTGTTCCTTCTCTTGCTCCGTCTAACGGTATGACAATTAGAGTCTCCGTGTAAATTACAATTCGAGACACAGCAAATGCTCTAACCGTCTCTCGCATCCAACTCGGAATCGGAATCGCGTAATTCAATCGGCCCTTGGATTCGTTTCCGATCGGTTTCCGATACGGGCGTCCGTACAGGGGAGTCAAGAGTCGAAAGTAACGAACACACACTCACACACACTTCAAATCGTGTTATGTTTAAGTCAAAACCCGTCTGGTTTCCGTATAAATATAACATTTTGGAAATTTAAAAATCGGAAGATTGACTCATCCGCCAGCCGATCCGCACGCTATCGCCCGACAGGAAAGACGACACCAAAAGAAAAGTTGGAAGCATTTAAGGTGAGTTGGAAATTGTATTAACGGAAAATTTTATATTTTGCGTCTTTTTAACTAGTTGAACGCGAGTCGTTTGTACTCGAGGTTATCCGATCTTTTTTGTAATTTTTTCGCCTCGGACATCCGTTTCCTTTTATCTGTCTGTCATCGCCTGTTCCGCCTTCGCCGCTTTTCACTTATTCAGCCCAATTTTTGTCCCCGATCTTCGTCTCCTCCTCCTGTTTATGAACAGTTTTTGTCTCGGAACCTCCAGTGACTCATTTTCTATTTTTCAGCGCTTTTCCGCCCCCCCGTCCGAGCTTTTTGTTTATACGTTTAATAAGCGCGTGTGACAAAAAACGTTTCACACCCCGCAAAGCTCCGTCCACGTTTCGGCTAGTTTTATAAAATTTAACCCCCTCAAAAAAATAAAGGAAAAAAAATTTCATATCCGGGTTTACGATAACACCACAGACTCATGTTTTGATTGTCGTTTCCATTACTCAGCCCTTCTAGTTAGTTGGGTTTTTGAAAGTTGCGATTAACGGGGTTTACGTAAAGCGCGCTCATGATAAATTATTCACCGACGGAGAAAAATCAGTGCGTGAAAAAAAACCAGTGTCAATGATTATTTCCTCAATCAATTCCTATCTGGCTCCCCTCCCAGTGGACGTTTTTAAACAATATCCCACAGATTGCTTTTCAATTGCAAACACCATGTCGAGGATTTGTTGAAAAAAATAAAAATAAAATAAAAAAACGTGTAAAATACATTGCAATTTGTTCGTCGTTCGGGACAGAATTTAATTACAAATAGTTTCTGTTTTGAACAAACGTATCATATCTGAGGAAGTTCCCAGAGATAAGTTTACGTTACGGTGCTTTCCATCGTGCAAGACACTCAACATTGACTCAGTACGTTACATTGTTACTGCGATATGATCATTGCTATTCATCTGTTTTAAGTTTTGAAAACTTCAATATTCAGAGAGCATTTTTTTTTTAAACAATTTTCCATTTGATTTGACTGTACACATGCTTGTGAGATTCAAATCTCAGCCTTCTATATTTTAACAAATTGCTCATTGATAAGCTATTTTGAAACAAAGCCGTTCTATGAACTATTTAAACTAATCGAAATGCTTAAATGTAAATGATGTAATTCTAAAGAAAATATTTTTGAAGATAAGTTTATCTTTTGTTCGATGGAACTCCATGTTGACGAGCACCTTGTGGTTTATGTTGATAAACTTACTTTTTTATTTTTTACAATTGCTGAAAAATAGTCGATCAAATTCAGGATATACATTTCACCCATTATTTAAACCTCATAGTTACCCTTAGTTTCTTATATTTACAGTTAAAGGTGCACGTGTAAGACATTATTAGTGTACACAAATGTACCTATTAAACAATCTCCAGGGGCATAATTCATAATGCTACTAATAATATTACTTAAAATATACAAGCACGTGAACTACAAAGTGTCAACACTATTAATTTCTGTTTCATAATGGAGAAGGCCTCACTAATGTTTCATGTGATGTACAAGCAAAAAACTATAAATGTACAAGTCGGCTGTTCAGTTTTTAGAGGGGAACTATACAAAACGTACAATTTATTTAGTGTCCTGAGATGCAAGGAAATAGAGCCAGATCTAAGGAGGAGCCACTACAAAATTCTGGAAAGAATCCAAATAATGAGACGGCCCGGTATTTGAGAAAAACAGCTCAACATTGACAGATCTTTCCAAGTGGACATAGGCAATAGAAAAATTTGGGAAAAAGGCAGCCCCAAATTTTAAGAAGGGGCCTAATATGGTACACGGATAGATTGAAGATAGAACAGGGAGTAGGTGTAGGGATAAAAGGGCCGAACTATACTCTAGCGAAGCCCCATGTACTAACCCCAACAATTTTTTTACTTAAGGTCCATGCAATACAACTCTGTGCACAAGAATTAATAAAGAAAAATATGGAAGGTGCACAGATTTACATATTCTCAGATGGGCAGGCAGCCATAAAGGCACTAAATGTGTATGCTTTCAACTCCAATCTTGTCTGGGAGGACGTAAATTGCCTGATGACTCTAGGAAAACACAAGATTACTATAAAGTGGATTCCCGGACATGAAGGTACTGAAAAAAATTAACAAGCTGCTGTCTAACTAAACAAAAAAGGTCCTTTCACACATGGGACCAGAACTAAGTGCACCAGGCTAAGAGATTTATATATCTCAAAATGGAAGGCGAATGAGCTCTTCACTCTCAGCAGGCAGGATTTGAGGAAAATCATAGGCCACTGCCCCTCTCAGCTATCATCTTAAAAAAATGGGCAAAGCAGAGACAGAAACATGCCGACTCTGTCAGGAGGAATCAGGGATATCAATCATGTCCTTTGTGAATGTGAAGCATTTAGAGTACAGCCTCTTCGATAGGACATTTGTCACACCAAAGGATGTCTGCAAAACGGCACCAATGGAAAAGCTTAGTCTTATTAGGAAAAAGCACACTTTTCCAAGGTATGGTTATAATTTATAAGGGTTCCACAATAGATTACTTAGGTCACATCGGAGGAAAGGATATTGTCATAATAATACAATACCCCACAACCATCTTAAAAAAAATTACAGCAAGTGATAATTTTTTATATATTATTAACACTATAAATTTTAATATTATTTAACACAAGCAAAAAATTACAAAAGTACAAGTCTCCTGTTTGGTTAGAGAGGGAAAAACACAAACATACAATTTATTCAATTGGTTCCATGCCGATTTACAAATGCTGCTTCATTTTCAACTGGCACATCTATCAGAATCAGTTCAACACATTTGAGGAAAATGGGCCATAATAAAAAATTTATTGATAATTGTGGTGAAGTTTTCTGGCCATAGAATTGTGTGAAATAAATGAGTGTTGACTGCATTCACCGCACGTTTTACACACCTACAAACGGTAGCTGTACTTATACCATGCATGTGACCTATTGTGTGGTACTTGCTACCACTTTCCAGCCAATGCGATACAATGCAGACTGTTTTGCCAAAAGTGCACCCCTTTTCTCATAGGGTTTTCTACTATCCCTAATACCTTCAGCTGCTGTGCTAATAGTAGTAGTTAGTATTTTATTATGAAACAGGGCCGTGGATTGTTTTCTAGTTTCAAATGCCTTATTGAGAATCTATTGAAAATGATAATGACTCATGGCCAGAACAGGCCGTAATTTGATTAAAAATTGTTTCGATTTCTAACAAACATATCTTATCCAAAAGTATTTGTGTAGATAAGTTTACATGATTTGTTTTTAACAGTTGCATCCGATTCGGTTGTGCTCAAATAGCCGCCTTCTTTATTATAGCAAAACATATTCTTTTGTGATGAGTGACAATTTAAAACACAGCCTTGTACACGTTTTTTAAACCGATCTTAGAATCCCAGTAGGAAATTGCACCTTGCAATTCTGGAGATAATACAATTTTTTAAAAATAGCTGAAAAATATGTTTTTAACAATTTGGGGACAAATATTTTGTTTTGTCAATAACTATATTGTTACTCTTCATAACTGGTTATTACGTTCTGCCACATTAGCGAACCCAAAGTAAATGATGAATTTTTTTGGGGGGAGGGAGAAAGGACAGAAATTCCATGGACGATGGTGGAAATCGAACCCAAGACTGCAGGATCTACAAATTTAAAGTCCACTTGGCTTCCCCCCCTAACATAACTAAAAAAAGTTACGCATGTATAAAATGTTCAAGCATACACAAATATACCTTTTAAACTATCACCTGGATGGCAGCTTTTCAATTTCAAAACACCTTGAGAATTATTAAAAAAGAACAGTTAACAGTATAATTAACGTTTTAAGCTAAAAGTTTAAAGTTTTGCTAATTGTTTGCTGGTTTGGCTGGGACATACAGAATTTAATTAAAATAGGTTCAGTTTTGAACAAACTTATCCAAAGAAATTCCTGTAGATGTTTGCATTCTGGTGCTTTCCTTGGCATGACACCCCATGATGACTAAGTCAAGTCTGGGTTTCCTAGATAGCCTTACAATCCACCTGTTATTTAATAAGTTAAAAACTTCAATATCAAGGATAAACATTTTTTTAACAAGAAAATATTTATTTTGATAATATAATGTCTAGTTTTGTTGTATTTCTTAAATACCTAGGCATAACTATACAAAACGAAAGTTTACAAAACAAAAGTTTCTCTCGTATATTGGTTTGTAATTTTTCGTTTTCTGTGAACATGTTGTAAATCGGCTTTGAAATTTGTGTCATTTGAGTGGATTTTGTGAGGATTTGAAATTTGATTTTGCTATGAGTGATGAACAGGAAGCTGGACCGATTGGGCGTCCATGATCCCTTGCTAGGTTGGATTGATTCCTTTCTGTCTCTTAGATCATTTGCAGTTAGATTATGGTCTCTGAGGTGATTGAGATTGACTCTGGCATTCCCTAGGGATCTCACTCAGGTCCAATTTTGTTCTCTATGTCTTTTTAATGATGTTACCAGCTTTATTAGGAATAGTTCTGTATCTTTATTGGCTGATGTTTAATGCTGTACGTCTCAAGTTGAATTGTGCTGCCATTCAGGATGATCATAATGCATTTGTTCATTGGTGTCATTGCAACATGCGTAAGGTGAATGATGAAAAGGCAAAGTTATTTGTTTTTAAAAAAAGGAGATCTAAGGATAACATTAAACCTGTTTATTTTATTGAGGGTAAGCAGGTGGAGGAAGTCTCCAAGGTACTAGATCTCGGGGTAATTTTTAACGATCAATTCAACTTCTCTGAGCATATTGATGGTGTGATCTCTTAAGACTACTAGGAACATATTTTACTGACTCATTTCACATAACAGTTTTGTTCCAGTACTTATGTAGAAGTCATATTGTGTATGCACAAATTGTTTGTTAAGAAAAATGCTTTAATAATTATACCTGATGTCACCTGTTATATATATATAAAGCCAGTGGATAAGTTTTATATTCATGAAATTGCCATGATATGCCTTTAAAATTGGCCTACAGTTTGATTTCATTCATTTAGGTTTCATTGATAAAATTTTTGTTTCAGAAATCAGGCAAAATGCGAGAGTACAAGATAGTGGTTCTGGGAAGTGGTGGAGTCGGGAAGTCAGCACTGACTGTCCAATTTGTCCAAGGCATTTTTGTAGAAAAGTATGACCCGACTATTGAAGACAGCTACAGAAAACAAGTTGAAGTTGATGGGCAGCAGTGTATGCTTGAAATTCTTGATACTGCTGGAACTGTAAGTAACGATATATAATATAAAAGACACATAGAACTAAAGATGTCCACACTCCTGCTAACTTCTTTAATTAATTCTGATTTAAACTGAGCTTTTATTTTTTTTCTTCTGTTCTTATGGGAGTTCACAACAACAAAGATTATTCAACCTCTCAGAGTTCTGGTGTTTTCGAAAAATTTTGTAGGTCCTTGGGTTCAAATCAGGGCTGCTGAGATTTGAACCTAGGACGGACCCTAGGTTATCCACTGCACACTACAGATTTTTAGACGGCTTACGATTTAGTTGGTTGCTTATTCACCGTTGTCTTATATTAGTATGCACATTCAAGTGAACACACTTGGATAGGCTGCCTAATTCCTTTCCAACTGAAAAGTCTGTTGGCAGACTGTTTATTCAGTATGGTGTACTGTTCGGAAGTGCACATTGTCGACTACCCGGTCATTGATTAATGTGAAATTAACTTGTTAGTTTGTCCAATAGGATTTGTGTGGGGGCATCGGTTTAGGTGTTGAAACAGCGCTCCTCACTGTAAGGTATAGGTCTCTGGTTCAAATCCAACAGGCCTGCATTCAAACCCCACATACAAATTTTTTTTTAAGATAAACAATGGCACCCCGAGGGTTCAAATAACCTCATAGTTGAAATACTCTTGTAAAAAAAGACCGCATCTCATGATCTCCAAATAATCATTAATTAAAGGTCAAGTACTACACACTTTAAAAACAAGATTTGTGTTAAATATATTTTAAAATTTAATTTAATTTAAAAATTTGGTTTCTGAGTTGTATATGCCTTTCCATAAGAAGAAAACAAGATATAAAAAAAGTTAAATTCTAACTTCCTTTATTTATTCTATATGAGATACAGGTTATCATAATAGACTTTTTTTAAATCTTTTTTCAAATACCTACCTATTTTTTTTGCTGCATATCAGTTTCGAATGAAAAATGATTTTTAGTCCCTTCCAGGAAAATCACCCAAGGATTTTTTTAAATATATTTTTTAAAATAATAGTAAAGAGGTTCAGTCTTTTGGAATGGTATCTCAAAACACAATGAACCATTCACTATTTAAATTGGAATCGTAAATGTATGATCCTTTTAGCATATCCCCCCCCCTATTAACCCACACCACGCTTTTATTAAGCAAATAAAAAAACAAAAAAGCTCCAGCTTAACCATGATCCCATATTTGTATTATATTGCCTCATATTACTGAACAATGCTGTACGGTCTCTTTGGCACAAAGGTTGCTGGCATTTATAATAACTTAACCCATTTGAATCAATAGTAATAACAATAATAACTGATTTAGTTAACATTATGTAGAACCACTGGACAAAAACTGTTTAATGCAGCATTGACCTGCAACTACACATAAGAAATTGGCCAGTTATGCAATAGTATTGGACAGTGTGCGCATCACCAGCCTACCAAACAGTTTAGTTCGCCTAGTATGCACAGTTGCAACCTAATCTGTTTGAAATTGTCAAGACTAAAGCTTAGTCTGTAGTGTGCAATGGCCCTTACAGTGAGGCCCCCCCCCCAGCACAGAGTATCAATACAGGCTTAATATTTGAGTTCAAATAAATCATTATTTTAATTTAATTTAATTAATATTATCGTATTGTTTCAAGAAAAAAATAATTGTTATATTTTATTTTCTATCATTTGTTCAATGGACAAACACAAAATCTTATAATAAACCAATTACGTTGGTGAAATGAAATAATTTTCTCTTACAGATACTGAAAAAATATATACATACATATTTCTGAAGAAGTTATTAAAAGCATACTAGATTCATTTTGTATCAGTATTATGCTCCGTGCAAGTAATTAATATATGTATATATTGGGCTATTTTTTTAGATTTAAACACAATAAATAGCAGTTTTAAAACAAACAAAAATGTATTAAATTGCACATAGAGGTTATTAATTAATAAACAACAAAAATGAATATAAGGGAACCTAACATAAGATGACCTATCAATATTTATATTATATATATAAATTTGTCTTAAACGTATTATGTACTATTTGCTGTTAAATGTTGTTTCAGGAACAATTCACTGCTATGCGTGATTTATATATGAAAAATGGTCAAGGATTTGTTTTAGTTTATTCAATAACAGCACAATCCACATTTAATGATCTACAAGACTTGAGAGAACAAATTCTTAGAGTAAAGGTAAACTTAAATTTAAACAAAAGTATTTTTTGGAGGGGGTTAGTAAAAGCAAAAAGTCCTAAAAATGGTATTGTATTAACCCAAATAACAAGTACCACTTCATGTCTTGATTGTTATGCAATTCTAATTCAAAACATTCATACACCTTCTCTTGTTCAAACACACTGTTGGTAAATACTTACACAATTTGCCAGTCAAAAAAATATTATTTGTATAATAACCATTTTTGAAAAAAATTAAATTATGCTCAGAAGGAATTTAATTTTATAAGACATAAGTGATGTCCCTTACACACAGCAGATAAAGCATAACCTTAGTATACTTCCTGTTCATCTCCCTCTCAACCCTTTTCATACTTTTGAAGTTAAGTACCACATTCACAAACCCCAAATAGAAAATCCCTGGGCATGATATTACCTCACCATATTTTGAGTTTTCTTAACCACAATTATATAATGCCATCCTATGAACAACTCACTTTCCACTCATATGGAAATATTCCATTGTTATTCTCACTTCTAAACATCTCTTCTGCTCAGAACAAAGAGTATTGCTTGGGAGCATTCCTACACTTAGCACAGGCTTTTGATAGGGTCTGGCACCTGATCATGCTTCATAAACCTAAATGTTTCCAACCCTTTCCTTACTATCTTATCATTACATCCTATCTGACCAACCGCTGCTTCAGAGTGAGGTGGGTAACAACGTGTTTGTGGAAATCAGACTGATACAAGCCGGTGTCCCGTAAGGGATCATTCTTAGTCTCATCTTTTATATCATTTATACTGCTGACCTACCTATACAACTTAATATCATCATCAATCACTACTTACATGGATTTTACTGGAATTTTGTTCTCTAGAATCCTATCCAAGCTACCTCCAACATCCAGAAACACCTTGAACTTATTAAAGACGTGCAAAAAGTGCAGCAGTACAAGACTGAATTTAAAAAAACAATTAATCAGTGTGTGTTCGCACTGAAAAAACAGTCCTGCCCTCCACTGTACATCATCAATGAAGAGATAACGACTTCCATTCAAGTCACATACCTAGGACTATACCTAGTCAGCAGACTGATAATTCCCACGCAAAATTTAAGAGACAAAACTTAATAGAAGTTCAGTGCATCCAATCCTACCAATCGAAAGTCCTCAGACAAATAGTCAAAGCTCCTTACTATGTCACTAATCTCTATTCACGACGATCTCAACACTCCTTTGATTAACAGACTGATCTCAATCCCTTTCTATACATTCCCATCCCAAGAACCCGCCACGTCGCCTTATTCAACGATGACCTCGAGACCTCCTTGTCCCTTAATCCTCAGACTGAGTGCCAGCATTGGCTGGATTCTCATGGCATTTCTCCTCCTCCAGGTGTAGTACTGACCTTAGTGTTAGCGCTGTGACTATGTGAAAACATGTTTTGTAATCACATTTGTAATATGTACAGAGTATGGTCAAATAAAATAATAAAAAAATTACAAGAACATATTCCTGAGCTAGCATAATGTAATGATGTTAGATCAAAGTCCTAAGTATGGAAATGATTTTTTAACTTTCATAAAGTTTTTAAATAAATATTTATAAATTTGAAGAATTCAAGAAGAAAAAACTTCAAAATATTTGCCAAAATTATAAAGTGTAATAAAGCGTTCTTTATTAACTGCTTTTAAGTGTAATAGTAATAATAAATGATTTCATTACAATATCACTGTTTTTTATTTAATTTTTTTATCACAGTATATAAAATGTTAATCTTTTATTTTAAAAATATATACATATATTACAATTAATTAAGGTTTTTAGTTAAAATAAAAAAGTCAATGGCACGAGTGGGATTCGAACCCACGACCTTCGGCTACATACGCTGCTGCTCTACCATTTGAGCTATCGTGACCTCGATCCACTTGGACACCAACTTCCCATCTCAACCGCACCTTTTGAATTTTCCCTCCTTTTTGCCATTTTTCATCGTGGGTTCGAATCCCGCTCGTGCCATTGACTTTTTTTATCTCAACTAAAAACCTTAATTAATTGTAATATATTAATTGGTCAAGCGGGCCACGAAATTAGTGAATTTAATATATACATATATCTAAAAATTTTGTGTTTTGTTAATTGGTATTTCACAAATAACAATTAGTTATTTGCATAGGTGTAAAATTTATGCAAAATGAAAACAAGTGAATGACAAAGTGATAGCCCAAGGTTAACTGCTAATTTGTTATTAGTGAATTTATTATGTTTTAAAATAAACTTTTTTCAACTATTGAACAGCTAAAACTGTAACAAATGTTTATAGTTTCAGTTATGTATTTAGATTCCAGTATTACACAATTTCTCAATATCTTTTTGGAATTTTATTTCATTGTGTTAACACTTACCATGATTTTTTTAAGTTTCGACTGGACACAAACACAAACAAACCCCAAAAAATTTTTGTTGTGGAAATTCAATGGACTTTTAATTTAAAATATAAACTATTTTCCTGTAGGTTGAAGTATGATTTTTTTTCCTTTTAGGATACAGATGATGTACCCATGGTGCTAGTTGGTAACAAATGTGATTTGGAAGACGAAAGAGTTGTTGGGAAAGAGCAAGGAGCTAACTTAGCCCGCCAATTTAATTGTGCTTTTATGGAAACATCAGCAAAGGCAAAAATTAATGTAATTGATGTAAGTATCCTTGTCTATCGACAATTAATGTTCACAAAGGATATTTAGTTAATTCAGAACCGATTAAAAAAAAAAGTATTCAAGGCACTAGGTAAAAAATCATATACATATATTTAGATTATATACACTGCCATCATAGTAAGCAAGAGTAAAAAGGATGTGAGATTGAAGAGTAACCATCAGTCTTAAAGTTCAGAAGTAGCTTAAATTTACTGTTGAACTAAATATATTAGGTGTTTCAAAAATTTAAAATAATTTATTATAGTAATGGAAAATGAAGCAATATATGATGACAAGATTTCCAAGATTGAATCCACAGAACTTATTGTTAGTAGTGATAGTGAGAAAGGAAGTGACATAGTAACGCAATTTACGTGGAGAAATAAAACGCGGATAATATATGATAGTAAATCTAGCGAAAGTAACTACGATACAGATAATCGGTGGAGAAAACATGATCCAAAAAGAAACTTAGAAATGTTTGCGGGTAATTCAGCAACAGCACATGTTTACAATATTGATATTTCAAAATGTAATTTATATTTTTTTATCTTCATCCTTACGATACATGTTTGTGACGACCAGCTTCAGATTTCATTATTTTTGCGGGTACTCAGTATTGGAAGGTTGCGAATGTGTCAACTTTCACAGATCTCTCAAAACCCACCTGAATTTAGTGGCATAATTTAATTTGTTTCATCCAACACTTAAAAAAATAACAAATAAAAATAATGTTTTATTTTCAATGTTTTTATTTTTCAGTGTTATTACTATTAATTTTACATTTTTAATTCTTTTCACATATATTGTGTCAAATTTCTCCTTGTCATGTAGCCTTAAAAAAATAATACTTTAACATTAACTTTTGTGTATTTCAGATATTCTATGACCTTGTTCGACAAATAAACAAGAAGTCCCCTGAAAAGAAACAAAAGCAGAAAAAGAAGTCACCATGTGTTCTTGTTTAAACCTTTGATAAAAGAAAATTAATAATTGAAAGCTCTTTACAATTGTCTTAGCTCGTGTATAGACTTGAGAGTTTTTTTCCAATAAATTTAAATTATCACAACATGTTATTTAAAATATTAGATATTTTTTTATTCAAAGTTTAACTTCTTTATTAAAGCTTACAATTATTTTGGACATATATTCTTATGATAAATTAATTCATTATTACATTATTTAAACCATATGTTTTCACAGATTGGTTCAAGTCATAGTTTTTTGTTGGCATGTTTTCTTATATTTTTCCCTTTTAACTATTATATAATAATTATTCTGACCAAGTTTTAGAACAATTTTATTGTTATTTTATGGAGTTCACAAATTGCCAAATTAGCAAGTCACATTGAGGGTTGAATAAAAGAAATTTATATCTATATACTAAAAAGGTTATGTTTGTGAGCTTTATCTATTTATTCTTTTATATATAAACCATTAACAAATTGAAAATTGCTTTTTTCCTGCAGTGGTAATAATGGCAAAGTTTGTTTTAACTTCACTTAAATAATTTGCAAATAAGCGAGGTATTTGACCAAGTATTAATTTAAATTAATTAGTTAATTAGATTAATTCCAAAATTCTGTGTTTACAAAGTTAATGAAATGTTAATTGTCATTATTGTATTTTTTTACTTTTCTTTTTTATAAGCTTGCAATTTTTATTATATTATTTTTTAGCTGTTATTTTCATGCTCCAAAGTTGAATTGTACAAATAAAAATAATATAACAAAGTAACCATTATAAATAAAAAATACATTTAATCAATGAATATTAGCAAATACAAGAGAAAGGGGAATAACTAGTAAACCGTTAAAAATATGTAATACTAAAACAAATGCAGATAATTTAAATCTTTATCCTTTTGATTGTTGAGTTAGCTCTGTTATGGTAATTCTGTGTATTTCATTTGTGTAAATAAAAATTATGTGTTAAATAATTGTGTCAGTTTAATGTTGTAATAATGTAAGACCAGATTTGATTAACATCAATTGAATTATTCTTCCAAGACGCTTATATTCTTAAAAATCAATATTCTATAATTTTTCAAAAACTTTTATAGTCCTTGAAATATGTTAAATGTGTATCACTGCCATTTAGAAACATATATTTTCTTTGTAGAATAAAATATCTCTTCAGAAATTATTAGTGTTCTGAACAGATGATGTGCAAGATTTTTTACCTGATGCATTTGTTGTTTCTATAAAGTAATGATTTTTTTCCTAACATTATATCTGAAACTGAAGAAAATATATCAACAAAAAGTATATATTAGTTCTCTTTGTGAAAAACTAGACCAAGTAAAAATAAAACTGTACAAATATACAATAAATTTAATATCCAAATTAAATGTTGTTTGTAGTTCATGGTGGACTCTTGATACAAAGTACATTCAAACAAAGGACCAAGGGATATTTTGCCTTTATTTATGTTTAATATTATAATTTGAACAAATACCGATACAAAACAGGCAGAACAAGGACTTGAATAAATTTAAAAAAGTGCACAACTTGAGTTAATTCAGCACTAGAATGAATAATAAACTTATAAACAAATAATGCGAATGAATATTAAAAGTTGTATAGTAATCTAATATTACCCTCCATTGCTCAAGAAACGACTACCCTGTGATGAATCAATGATAGATTTTAAATTGTTTGATGCAAACGATTTTTGTTAAATCAACCTTTTCTTACGAGTAAGGGTTTTTCTTTTGTGCAAAATTAGCCACCCTTTTTCTTAAAATATATTCTCAGTTGTGATTTTTATAAGCATATAATTATAGTCACTATTAAATGATGTTAGTAAGTTACAGAATTATCAATGTTTCTTTTCTGTTTTCTTACTTTTATATTATTCAGAATTATGTTCATAAAAAGTGATACTATACTTCTATTATATATACCAAAGTTAATATTCATAAATTATTATAAATAAATTCTTCCTTTTTAGTTTTATTCACAAGTTGTATTTTATTTCAACATTCACATTACCAATTTATCTTTATGTTTAATGGCTGAAATCATGTCAAATTTAATAATCCATTTGTACCGAGTAATTATATAAATGATTATTAACAAAAACAAATTGGAATTTCTTTGTCTTGTCGATAAGATATGCGCAAGCAGCTTGTTTTTTTCTGTTTTGTGCTATAGTTTTAGGTGCTCTCTTCGAACTTCTGTAACATGCTTATGACAGAAATCTATACATTGACTTCCCGAGTGTTAATAAATTTGGGTTATAAGCTTTTATTTGTTTAATGTTTAAATATAATCGATTAACAGTGCTCTTTCGAGTTAAAATCCAAATAAAAGAGTTTTAAGTTGTCCTACTTATTTTGCAATATGTTGTATTTAATTAAATTAATTAATTATTTAATTTTAATTTAATCTTATAATTGATTACACTTTGACCACATTGTAGTTAAATTTGTGCAATATATCAAATTCATTACGTATAAGTAGTGAACAATTCCAGTCCAATGGTGTGTAGTTTAAGGAAAATATATAGCTGATAGCCATCGGCTTAAAATTGAAATGCATTTATTCTCATAGAGTTGGGTTATGGTTCACAATTGTTCGTGTATGATTTCAAGATGTGTGCTCTGATATAGGAAAATGTATGCATAACTTGAATTATGTACATATACAGAGTTATTTCCTTTTGAACAGAAAGCTGCTATTATTATTAGCCCGAGCAAAAAGAAATGACTAGGGACCAGATTAATATATGAAATAAAATATACACGTACGTATTTATTTATTTTTTAACAATTATTCAAGTAAAAAAGATGTAAAATAAAAGACATCTAGTTATGCATTTTTTAAAAAGGATTTAATAATTTACACATGTTAATTGACTAATGTGTAAAAAATAATTAAGGAATTATACAAGTGTAATTATATTATGTATTTGAAAAATGTGAAAAAGAGGTAAAATAAAAATGTAATACTTCGTACTTCAGTAATGTACATTTTCAAATTCTTGAAATTTTTGTTTATGTCGACATTTTTAGTTCTCTAAATCCCTTCTTAGGTTTGTGCTATTTTTTTTTTAAATTTTTAATAATGTTTATTTTCATTAAACATGGAGAAAAATATTTAAATTAAAGTAAAACAAAATACGGTTTGGTTTATTTACATCTAAATAGTATGAAACATAAAATAAAATTTCAGAAATGGAGTCTAAGGCTCAGTAAAAAATATGTTGATACATATAAATCCTGTCCCTAGAAATTATATTTGAAGTGCAATTTTTAAAATAGCGGCATTCGTGTCAATGTTTCTCCGACGTAAATTAGCATTATGAAAAAATGTGAGTTACTATTGTACCATATATAAATATGTATGCATAAATGGTATTCGATAAGTAATAATCCTTGTTCATTCTTTGTAATTGTAGACAGTTTTTAGTCTAACACTTGTTACAAGTTGAAAGAAATTATCGGCCATTGGTGCTTGTTAAGAACGACATTATATTTTTCATTGGAAACAAAAGCTTGTAACCCATGTCCCATACATTACTGTTGAAAAACTAAACATTTCTTTGAAAAAAATAAATACAGTGTAAAATAATTGTGCAATATGTATATAATACATATACATACGTATATAATATATATATATACATATGTAAGTGTTATACATTAATTATTATTTGGTTACACTATAATTAACACATTTAATCTTTAATTTTGTATCCTTCTTGTTGTAAATTAACTTTGTATAATCACGTAACAGGAGTATTTTTGGATGATCGCACATACAATTATTATTATATGTATATATTATAACATGAATTGTGTGTATATATTATAAATATATGAAAGTGACACAGTATGTGTGAGGGTGATGTGTGCACAATGATAAATTGTAATAGTGAGACTGTAAATAATTGAAACTGTAAATTGTTTCAAGTATCAAAATACTGAAAGCGTACTGAATTTTCTGTTTAGTATTTCTTTTTATATGCACTTCAGGTAAAAAACAACAAGCATGGCTAGTTAATGGCTAAAGTACTATCACAAATATTTCTGAAAGGGGTATAAAACATATTGTGTAGACAATCTATTTCCCTCGGCTGCACTGTAAACCTTTAAAATGTTACATTGAATATGATGAACGTGTGTAATGTGAAAAATATATTGTTAATTAAAAAAAACTTTTTGTTTTAAATATCACTCCTTGCTTTTTTTGGTTTTATCATTATGTATGTTTTATTGTTCTTTAAGCATTGACCCAAATCTTTCAAAGTTATAAATTGTCTTAAGAAGGGACCATTTGTTGTTGTCAATAGTCAACGTTGAAAAAGGGTTTTCCCTCATCCTATCATCTAAATAAATTATATTGACATGAAAGAACATGATTGATATGTTCAAAAATAATTTTAATATTATACAAACTATCACGTATCATTTGTCAAGTTAATTTTAGGATTTTAATGTCCAGAATAATTTATTTTCCGCATTCCATTAATTCTGTACACTATACTGTATGAATAAAGAAAATGTGCTAAAAAAGTGAAAATTGGCCGACTACATATGTATAATTTTTAATTGTATTTCATTTAAAAAAATCACGAATGCAAAATTAAAGGTGATGAATCGACTTACATATGAAATTTTCTATCTTGGGTATATTTATATTTATTATAGTGCGTATTGTAGATATGCAATACTTTAAAAGAATATATTTACAAGGATTGTATATTTGGTCTTATTGATTATTCATATCCTATTTTGTTTGTTTTGTTTCTTTATATATATCTTAAAACTGACAGTCAAACAGACATATCTTAAAAACAATGTGGAAATATCTGATAATAAAATATATTGGTATACTTACCATTGTTTTTTTAAGTGCGGTTTTCTTGTTCTAATTGTTTCTAATCAATGTGTCTTGGTGTATATATATATATATATATATNACTTGGGTTATTAGTTTGCTAACTGAAATGGCCAAATCAAAGTGTAATTCATATATCATTTGTATAATTGTATGCAAAGGGACATGACATAATTTAAAAAAAATCAAAACTTTTATACCCACATTAAATGGGCCTCCTCACTCAATGAAAAATATAGATTATCTTAGTAATATATAGCAAATGAGTAAATGGAAGCAGTTGTACGCAAAGCATTACAATATTACAAGGTTTATAGAAATGTCAGGGAAAAGGAGAAAAGTGATCTTAAAGATGTTTTCTGGCCTCGGGATTCAGGATTGGGCTCAAAAAAGACAGATGTTATATATACCATAGCCTGCCAGTGGCTTTTTTCTTTTCTTTTTTTAATGTTTATTTATTTTTTATTGTATGTTAAAAATCATGAGATTGCTACATTGCAGGCATTTTAGACAGTAGGTTAGCTAGAAATTAAAAATGATTTTTTGTATTGGATTTTTTAAAAATATTTACATGTAAAAATGCCTGATGAGGGGACTAGAATAAAACTGGGACCCCAAAATGCATTAGCAAATAAAAACAAAAAAACAAGAATTGAAAATACATTTATTTGTTATTGGGTTTTTAAATTTGTTACTTTGAATATTGTACATTAATATATTGGTGTTGCAAAAAAAAAAAAAAAAAAGAGGAAAAGTAGAGAAAGGAAAGGATAGACGTAGATATGAATAGAAGGAACCGACAAGTTAAAATTAATATAAAATTATTGCGCCATAAACTCTTCAGGCTTATCAAGTATAAGGGCAGTATCATCTGTAAAACAAAAAGCTGTAGACTTTAGGGGAAATTTAAATAAGTCATTTATGTATAGTAAGAAAAGAATAGCGCCTAAAATTATACCTTGTGGAACACTTTTAATGTTAACTTATTACACACTTAACTTTTCATATTAAATTATTTCTATGAAAATCATTTATTTGAACAAATATTGTTGTCGGTCATTAATGTAAGATTTAAGAAGATCTAAAGGTAATCCCTTTGTCATACTTCTGTAATTTTTCTAACTGTACATTGTGATATATACCAGTGATCCCCCTATGTGTGCTGCGGCTCCCCAGGGCGTCATGGCTGTACTAAAGGGCACTTTTACAAATTTTCCATAAAAAAATATTATTTTTCTATTTATAAAAAATTCTATTCTATTCTAATTATAAAAAACCCTAAAAACTAAACCCCCTTTATAAAAACCCTATAAACTAAGACCCTGGTGGACATCCAAACTCAATATGGATGTTAATGAGACAGCTGCAATTGTGTATTTTATATTATTGTTAAAAAAAAGTAAGAAAAATTAAGAGAACTAAGATATGCTAAAAATTTGCTGTATAGGTACTGTGATATGTTGTTTAATGGAAATAAGTACTGAGTTAAATATGCTATCTTTTCCTTTCAATTTGCAGATCCTGAAGGAGTTTATGGCACAATAATTTTATATTAATTTTAACTTGTAGTTTTCTTCTGTTCTTATCTACATCTATCATTTCCTTTCTCCTCTCTCCTCTTTAATTTCAAGTTGCCTTTCGATCATCCCTTTCCCAAATGACACACATTGTTGCTGGCCATTCTCAAGGCTCTATCCTTGGACCCAGCCTATTCCTTGCAAAGGAGACAATATCTCTCCTTGGGGTAATCCTTTCCTCACTATTCTTGGGCCAAAATGTTTGTTCATTATTTTGACATAAATCAATCTTT